TAGAGTGATTAGACAAAGGACTACATGTAGCTTCCTGTACTTCCTGTACACAAAGTCTCTCTTGTGCAGTGTCCAATCAATCAAACTGATTCTGAACACACTGAGTGTTAGCAGTGGAAGCTTGTTTCTTGCTTTCTCAGCAGAAACACCAGTTTACAGTGGACTAGATGAAACATATTAATTACGCAGTCAAAACATAGAGATATCTCCAAAAGTACCTCCATCGTATTTCCAGACTGACGCTGCTGGTCTGTTTAGGATCATAAGATTATTCCATAAAAGAGAAATAACAGTGGGGCATAATTAGTAGTAACTGGAAAAACAGATGGTATGTGGATGTAAATTCCATTGCTCATGTAAAAAGAGCCTGAAACAGGGGCAAAAAAAAAAAAAAAAAGCCAAACGACAACAGAAATATGTATGTTTGACTGTAAGAAAGAAAAGTAGAGGGCAGGTGTTCCTTTTCCCCATAGCTCAGCTCTCCCTACCACTGTCTGAAGGAATTAGGGCTGTAGAAGAGCATGAGAGAGAAGAATGCAACTGTAGGTATATAAAGCCACAGAAAGAGGTCAGTCCACACAACTGCAAGGAGATTCCACACTAAATCTGCACAGAGGCTCTGAATCTGCCTTTGGCCATGCCACCCCACATTTCCATCTCGTCGTGATTCTGCTGGTTAGGCTGTAGTGAACATCAGAGAGGAGGAATCCTCTCAGTGGAGCATGACAACAATACACGTGAGCGGTTATTCTTTCCATGTAGCAATTCAACCGGGCAAAGAGCTGCAGCATATTACCAACCCTCATGTGGAGAGCTGATACACTGCAGGGCTTTGTGTGCACTGAATATTACTAGTGACTACATCAGGTTAAATTAAGAACATGGATTACGTAGTGTTGCTGTTGATAACCAAGGAGTACAAAAATAGAAAATAATGAATGAATGGTACTGATTATGTGCATTTTGATTCCAGTCAAATCCTCACTTGATTAAAATGTTTTAAAATGGTTGCAAACATGAACATATGACCATTCAGCCTGCTCACCATGGTTAACGTCAATACAACAAAATAAATAAGTGTCCTGTCAAATGTGTGTCATCCTCAAAAGGCAGCACTACAGTCAGACCCAGTTGCACACACACACACACACACACACACACATATTAACCACCCTCACAGGCTGCCCTGACTGATTTCATAAACTGCTGATCTAGGATTTTTGTGTTCAACCATCTGAGTTGACAGAGAATGGTTCCAAAAAGAGAAAATTTCCAGTGAGCAGCTGTTATCTGGACGAAAGTGCCTTGTTGTTGCCACAGGCGAGAGGAGAATGGCCAGACTGGTTCAAGATGACAGAAAGATAACACATAACCACTTGTTTGCAAGTCAGATATGCAGAAGACCATCTCTGAATGCACAACACGTTGAACCTTGAAGCAGATGGACTACAGCAGAAGAAGACCACACTGGGTGCCACTCCTGTCAGCTAAGAACAAGAAACTGAGGCTATAATTTTTGCACAGGCTCAATGAACTAACACAATAGAAGACTGGAAAAACATTGCTTCGTCTGCTGGGTCTAGATTTCTGCTGCGACATTCAGATGGTAAGGTCAGAATTTGGTGTCAACAGCATAAAAGCATGGATCCATCCAGCCTTTTATCAATGGTTCAGGCTGCTGGTGGTGTCACAGTGTGGGGGATATTTTCTTGGCGTCAGAACCTCTACCCAGGATGTTTGGGAAGATCCAGGAATACATCAGGAAGATGGCTCCCACTTATGGCCTTCTACATGAATACCTCAGGCAGCAGAAACCTGACAATAAGGAGGAAGGGGAAGGAGGACCATGATCAGAGGACCGGACTCTGCATGGAATGTACTACCAACAAACAGAAGAAGTTATATTTCACATTTATCAGGCTTCATACACTGCGAACAATGTTACAGTGGTCCTCTACACTCCTAGTATTGTTAGTGTAGACAGTGCCACGGTGATTTTCCTCAGTGCTGTAGTGCTTCTCTCACACAGTACATTGTAGGTCACTGGGCTTCTCTCAGGCTTGGGGTCAAATGAACTTAGACTGACTTACAGATATGGGCTTTAGCTCCCAGCCATCCTTTATCTACTTGTTTCGTACAAACGTTTCACCTCATTATAGCAATTCCACTGTGGACTGATTGTCAGTGTACTCTGAGCTAGTGATAGTAAAAAATTAAGTGTTTACCTTTGGAACTGTTGAAAACCTGAGAGTTCAATAGAAACATTTAACAGAACTGCTCCATACAGTGAAAGATAGCATTTATGGACAATATTTTGGTGGTTGTAAATACTGCTAAAAACTGAATAGCCTCCTTGCTCACAAATGTAGTAGAAAACCACAATCTGATGTAGAGTAATTCTGTTAAGATATGGAGATGTTTGACGTACCATATGTTGATGCAATCATGGGGCTGACAGAAAGAGACTGGAATGAACTCACTTGCAAGTGCAAAAATTTTAGGTGCTTCAAATGTCTTGTTTAGCAACCTACAGCATATGAGAAGTCTCTGTTCAGGCCTGCATTCATTCTGCAGAATGACAATGAGCCCTATCAATGCAGTCTGAAGAGAGCTGTGGAGAAAAAGTCTCTGAAATGCTTGAAATAGTCAACCTGTCAAATACTTTGAAAAACTGTGTACCAAGGAGAACTGGTGCTGTTTTCAAAGGCAAAGGGTGTACACGGCAACTATGACCTGGTTTAAGATGTTCCTGCTTACTGCACTTTACATGAAGTTAATTGGTTTTAAAACATCTCTATGCCTACTAATGGCATTCTAAAATAAAGCTTTCTCACACTTTGTACTTCTGGTCCCTGAAACATTTGCGTAGTACTATATGTGGTGAGCAAAACAGATTGTAATCCCCAAACTGTTGACTATGTAGGAAAAGTGTAATTTCAGGGTTGCTGTGTTTTTAGTTTCTATATTTAGGTCCTTCCACCTTTAATTCTGCTTTGGTAAACTAAACCAGCAATAGTAACAGCAGACACCTGCCTCCTTTCCCTGGAAGCAACACCCCAGTGGCAACAACATCTGCGTTTTGGAACTGCCTATACAGCCCTAAAGCAGACAGATACGACCTCAGGCCCACTCATATCCTCATCTCTTTAATGTATGGATGAAAACAAGTGAGTGTATGCGCATTATGAGTGTGCTGTTGTATCTATGTTTAGAAGCATCTGTTTGACTCATAGGTGTTCAGACTTGGGCCATTTCTCCAACTGCAGTTAGTTCATTGGTCCTCACACTGTCAGGGAGTTTATTTCTGTTGCAATTTAAGGTTAGATTTGTGATTAAATTTAGGTGTGCTTGGTTGTCTGTCTCTAAGTGTAGCCCTGTGATAGACTGGTGACCTGTCCAGCTGAACCTGCCTTCACCCTGAGTCATCTGGGATAGACTCCAGCCCCCCGTGACCCTAGTGAGGATGAAGCGGTGTATAGATAATGGATGGATGGATTGTGGGTTTGGTGTTTTGGTTGGTCAAAAATACAAATTTGTTCAGATAGGCTTGCATTGTGGGCAAGATCAGTTGGTGCTGGAGGTGATACTTGACACACACATTTGTGGTTTTGGTGAAGTGAAATGTCTTGTCGTTGGGGAGGCTATCATGAAATTTAATTTCCCTCAAGTTTTTATCTCATGACATCACATGCAAAATTGTAGTTTTCCCATCCTTTGCTTTTGGCCTAATAGCTACTAAACTAATGGCATGTTCACCAACACGTTCTTGGTGTTTGGTGCTAACTAGCAAAGTAAAGGTGACTCTTGTTAACATTATACCTTCCAGATATTAGCATGGTATCGTTGTCATCATGAGGACGACACACTCAGTAAATACAGTCTCACAGATGTCCTAACATGGCTCGTCTTTTTATCAGATAACAACTCTGTCGCCTGGTAGCCAGCACTGTATGCACCAGTCAGGTTAAGAGTCTGTGGTGCAGCTGTTGGCAAATGATTGTTTGTGAAAAGCTTTTCATTGTTCAAACTAAAAAAATGTGTCTGTGAGCACTTATGTATGTACATGTACAGCAAGTTACAAGCAGAGTGGAATTTCACCCAGTTTCCATCTGCATTGTCAGTCGCTGCACATCATAGCAGCAGAAAGCCAAAGGCAGCACTATCCTGTAGTTGGTATCACAAATTATTTCAAAATGGCAATTAGTAGGTAAAAGGTGGATGTGGTACACATGGCTTTCTAGATAAAAACAAGACAAAACAGGGATCTCATCTTTACTCCTCCTGCCAACCACTGATTAATCCTGTTGGAAGGTCTTAATTACAGAGTGCATCAAGAGACAATTCATGACCTTGACTGATGTTGAGCTAACGTGCTTAGAATACACACCAATCCAACCCACCACAAGGTCTTCACTTTACGATGTAAGCTGAAATGAATTAAACTGAATTAAAATGTTAGGTCACATACTCCAATGGCGCTGTGCTCTATCTTCAAGTTTACATTGGTGATGCTAGCAAATAATGGTTGTGAGTTTCTATTTTGAAATGATACACGTTGTCAAGTGCTGCTGATACAACCTTTTAACTTTGGATATGTCTCATAGAGAAACCATTCAAACCAGTGCAGCTGTGCAAAGATTTGCGTGATGCTTGTATTGCAGACCTACAAGCCGAAAACCGTTGACTTGAGTGTGTAACTGTGCCATGAGACAGTGTGATTGTTTCCGTGTGACTACCCATCTGTTACTACCTCTGCATGTATGTGTTCAGATTGTAATCACCCTGTCCACATCTGTCCTGCATGCACAGACACCTGTTAGTACACAATCACCCCTCCAGTGCTGTATGTGCCAGCACCTATGAATTAGCTGTGCTGTGTTTTTGTGTCTGTGCTGTTTGAATGCTTGGAATCTTGGATGTAATTGACTAACCTAATCTGTTAAGTCTCACCTGTGGTGTTTGTTCTTAGTGGTCACATATAGTCCTGTTGCTCTCTCCAGAACAGGCCACCAGCAGTACAGGGGTCGTCCCACAACGGCCAGCCCCCACCCTGCATGACCCCTGCCTTGATGAACGCTCCCTGGGTGAGAGAGGGGTGGAGGGGGGTAGTTTTCTATTCACCCCATCTTATTTAAATACATCATGGCAATCAAGCACACATCAACATATTTTTTTATATCTGTGTCACCACAATGTTTACTGATGTGTGACAGATCAGTTTGCTGTACCACTCATGTGATTAGAGTAGCGTAGAAGATTTCTAATTTTCTGTGTCTGGACCTCATCAGTTCCAACCACTTAAGAGCCACTGTCATGACCATAGATATGTATAATAAAGGCTAGATGTCTCATCCGTGCTATCCGGGATGAGAGTATTTACATTTGTGCAGATCACTCACCTTCCTTCACGTACCACAGGTTCCACCAGAGAGCTGCCCCGTGTCAAGATGGCCGAAGGGTGATCCCGTTCAAAACGCCACCTTTAGACATCTAGCCTTTATTATACATATCTATGGTCATCACCATCTCTATCATCATCTGTATATGGTCGCAACACTCTTTTACATGTTAACCAGGGAGCCATTCTTGTATCATGTAAACCTGCTGTTTTAGAAGTAGTACTGTGCATATCCAAGAAAACATTGTAAAAATAAAAAATGATGTCTGGATCAATTAGTTGGGAGAGTAAAGAAACTTTCCTGTATCATGTTTCACAAAACATTTATTAGTTATTGCTCAATACTTTACTAATGAGACCTGTTTGTTAGTTCACCCACAATCAGGTGCATGATGTCAGGCCACAATCTGTGTTGGGGGTTTTGGCGTGGATTCGAAACACTTTTTATTTTTTTTAATCTTCAAAAGAACTCAGGGGATACACATAATGCAGTATGAGTTAAATGCTGTCCCTTTATAATTATTCTTTTGTATTCAGAAAAATGGTTTGAAACCTGGTTAGATCTGCTACATGGCTAAACTACAAAGCCCCCAGTCTGTGTAGAACCATTGATTTGGTTGTGATGTCTCATAACACTCTTCTTGTCAAAGTAGGAATAATTATCATTTGTTTATTAATTAGAACTAAGCATTATACAAGGTATGCAGGAAAAATGGAAATTAATATGCTATTATGATGCTTATATCAAAATCAATTATTTTAGTCACTTCTACTGTTATTCCTGAGAACAGCATGATACAAAGCATATACTGACTTTCACTGTCAGCATTTAAAACTCATCACTTTCCTTTGCCCGCCCTTTTCTTTTGTCCCTTCCCACTCTCAGCAGTACCACTACCAAGAAGATGACTCTCCGCCTCTTGACCAGGGATTCCCACGGCTCACAAACAAGGTGCGCGCCCCTGAGCTGGTGCACGTGTCCGAGAAGAACCTGTCCGAGATAGAGAATGTGCACGGCTACGTGTCCCATTCCCACATCTCACCTCTCAAGGTTAGTATCTCCCTGACTATTGTAAATATGGGTTTTTGCACCCACCATAGAAACCACTGCCTCTTCCAGTCTCCCTTTCTTTCTTCTCCATTTGTCTTTTAGGCTTAAATGTGAACACAGAATGCTCAGTGTTTGTTAGAACACATTTTACATACTATTGTTTGTGTTTTTGTGAAGCAGAGATAAGGCTGGTGTTTCTAATAGAAGTAATATAGTTTACTTGGAGTGTTTTGCACAAGCAGACAGTAGACAACGGTTGAATTTAGGCCAGTTTTCAGAGCATACTATACAAGTTAGAGCTGAAAAACTTCAATGTGTTCCCACCTTCCACCTCCTTTTCCTCCTCCGTTCCTTTATTTTGATGTGCCGTTCCGATCCACAGACTTGGTGACAGTAGTGTGTCTTTGAGTTTGTAGTTTTCTGCATCGTTTCAACTAGAAATGATAAAACATTGTCTTTGTATGCTCCCTTCCTTCTGCTTTTACCATTTCTTGCACACATCTTTCCCCTGCATTGTCTTATATGAAGCAGTTGTGTCTCACCTCTTTGGCTCTTTTTGAGCCAGCAGAGGGCAGTGTTGGACCTGAAGTGAAGTTTTACTCACTGAGTTACTGTCACAGTTAATGGGGAAGGATTTTCCTGAATATTTGCTGTGTTTTGGTTCACAGAACATTGAGCAGCACTTTAGTCTTTGGACTATGAGTTCTTTTTGTTGTAGGGATGTTTTGTACCTCTGGTATGATGCATGTTAGTTGTATTCTTAACCTGTTTTACAGTATTGAGAGACCAGAATATATTTAGGAATAGCATTAACAATCAGTGTAGAGGTGCAAATCATTTTTGTTTTAGTTGGAATGAAAGGAAAATTGGAATTAATCTGCTATGCATATGATCTGCTACAGTACATGGAAGCAAAAGAATCCTTTATCTTCTAAAAGTAATTATTGTCTCTGAAGGAAGTGACTCATAGTGAAACACACTCTATTGAATATCATGTGGGGTGAAGAAACTACATTTGCTGTAATCAACTTTTCAGCTGCTATTTCCTGTATGGCCTTTAGGTTAGAATGTAATATATGAATATAATACGATTTATTTTTCTTTTATTAACTTTAATCTTGTCTCTCGTGCCACTGGGCATCTTAAACCTGTCTCTGTTGTGTATAATCGTAAATCACTGTGTCGTGAACAACATTGTTAGCATGCATTTAAATAGGAACTCTGATGGAGTCTGCTGTCAGGAGCTCTGAGTGTGTTCGCTCTGTTTGTATCCTCTTCCTGTGTGGTCATGAGGCTCAACCTGTTGATGCTGTGATGGGATCCAGCAGACTGTCAGTGACATGTTACCCCCTGTCATACTTCTGTGTGCTATATAAAATAAAGGTAATAAGTCAGTGGAGACGTTCCATGTGTCTGACTGAGGATCTTCATGTTAATGTTTCAAAGTCGATGCAGTCGTTGGTTATGCTGATGTGACAAACAGCTGTGATGTGTGTGACTCAACCAACCTTTGGCTTCATTATGCTGCAGTGCAGGTTTTTTGTTTTGTTTTTTTATGATTTAAGCTCCCATCTTTCAAAAGAAGCTAAATTAGCAGGTCTTCAGGTATGCTGCCTCTGTACCTTTATGGTGGTGTTTATCACGAGACTTTATCCTAACAGGAGTTGTTTGAGTGTTGGCAGTCCTTCACCCCATGTTGGTTGTCAGTTTATTCACAAGCTGTGAACCCAAAACTGTTAAAATATTCAGACCCAATTATCGGTTTTCTCGCATGTGTTCTGAGTCTCCTGTTAGTTCAAATGTGAATTTTGCACTTGTGCTGTCGGTCTGTGATAGAAATATGCCACAAGAGGCTCTTCTTCTCTCACTAACTCGTAACATGCCTGTTTGGAACGGGCCAGTCGCTTCGTCCACAGTGTTTGTGTTTGTGGCTTTCTCATTACCAACGACCAGCCTCTCATCCAAACTACTTTACACTCAACACTGGCTGCATTCAGAAGTGCTTAGCTGGTATGGATGCTTTAATGACCAATGCTGACGTATAATGCAGGTATCATGTTGACTTGTTTTGCTTCCTGTTTCCAAGGCTCTGAGCTGTGCTGCTGTTTATCTCAGCTCATATATCTGAGTGGCTAATTTTGAATTGTAAGATACACTTGCTCTACTCAAGTACCTATTTTGCCAGGGTCCTGTAAAATTTAGCCTGAATGTATATGTTATGTGATATTCCAGGGCTGCACATGTGTCTGCAGACATTTTTGTTTACAAGCCTTGAGAGCTGCTAATCGGCCAATGCCAGTTATGTCAAAATGTCATTGAATTGGCTCAATTAATAGTCTGACTGATTAATTGGCACTCCCATAGAATTATCTAACACTAACTCTCTCTTCATATAGCTTGTGAGTAGAACTCAGTCAAGGGCTGCACCCGACCATAGTTTTTAAAAAAATAAGTTGATTAATGTAACAAAACTAATTTAGCAATTATTCTACAGGTTATTATTTAATTACTTTACTTTAACTACTACTTGTGTCTCGTTAATATTTAAACCTAACATTATTTTTTCAATCATCTAAACATGATCAGGATCGTTCCTTTTCAAATCATCAGGAACCTTCTGCTTGACTTTCTCTGATTTGCTTGAGATGTTTGTTTATTTTTCTTTATCATGAATTATTGATATTGAAAATGGCATCTGTAAAATTTTAGATTGATAAACCAAGTAATTCTTGAGATAATTGTTGTTATTATTTCTTAAACTGCCTGCTGACCCACTTTCAGCAAGTGTTTTTCCCCATATTGAAATTTGAGGCTGTGCTTAGTAGAAATATCTCATAAATTATTAAAGGTAAAAGCCTGATATGTTCACTGTTACTTCTCATCATCCCATTAGTTTAGAATCTGAAATACTGGACAAACAGATATATTATTCTCTGATTACAGGTGACTTGAAATATAAAAAACAATAAAGCTGTCATGACATTAGCACAATATAACCAAGGCCAAACACACTGAGCTTTTGGAATAGTGGAGTTTCTTTAAATTTAAATCTATACTCAGCTATAATAGCTTTGTTTTGTATTATTAATGATTAACCACAACTGCATGTGGTTCAGAAAATATCATTAGTCGACATCTGCATCATCAATCTTTTTGTTAATGTGTGCGCCAAGATTGGACTTTTGATGACGACTTTATTTATTTATTTATTTATTTTCCATAATTTAGCGCATCCCTAGAAATAATCTGACGTACTTGTTCAATAGTTCAGATTCTGAATCAATGACATAATGGGAATAAAACTACAACTGCCCAAAGAGCTTTATAGATTGCTATATGTTATACTATTAAAGTGTCAGGCCAATCAGAGATGATCAAGCAGAAACTGTTTTATAAACTGATTTGTGTGTTGTCCCTAACAAACCATGATGCAGATACATATTACTGGAATCACCTGGTGGGATCAGCTGTTTATTTAAATGTCTCTTCATCATCCCCACCTACAGCTCATTTCTGCACTGCTGCTGTGCTAACGCATAGTTGCACCATGTGTCATCGAATGTTTTATATTTTGTGTTGATAAAACTGCTTAAGCCAACATTGTGGACTGTTTTACTGTCTGTAAAGTGTTGTATATTTATCCCTGATTATCTTTACTGCATATTGCACGTGTTGAAAAAAATTGATATTATTATGTTTTTCAGTTTTAAGTGAAGCTAAAATATAGATTCTTGAGTTCACAGAAGGGCTCGCTATGACTGGTTGAATTAATCTGTGTGTACTTTTGAATTTCAGGTCCTGTGGTTTTCTGGTCAGGCGTCTGAAACGCATGTTCTGTTATGATTAATAATACGATTATTATATTATTATAGGTGATAATAAAAATGTTGAAATGTTAATGAGACCGTTTTTTGACATTTATTTTTGAAAGAAATATATTATTTGAGTAATGAAAAAAACCTTTATAACTACTTTAATAATAAGTTGGTTGTTAAAACAAGTGTGTTAACCCTGTGTCTCACATTATATCTAATGAGGTATTTGGGATTTACTGTGAACATTTTAATAACTGTGTGAATGGTAAGTAGATTGGATGAGCAGTTGGTCAATGATGTTGCAAGGGCTGCAACTAGCAGCGCTGCAGGCCTGTTCTGAACGGGCACCGCACTCGTTGGAATAATGCAGGAAGCCACAATGATCCACTTCCCTTCATCCTCATTCAATTTTAACCCTTCTCAGAGAATTTTTTTTCTTCTCCTTCCACATAACATGTGACTAGGTAACCATTACTAAAGGTTTTTCTGCCACATAAGACTCCCTTCTCTTTCTCTCTTTCTGTCTCTCTCTCTTTACTCAAATATACTGGCTAGTGATCCTGTCTTTCATTTCTTACTTGCAGCCTGCACTGGTTACCCGTTTTGATCTTGCATACCCGGGTGTGACCACAGCAAACTACATGGCAAGTTTTATTTTATCTCTGGGGAAATTTTGGGGTATTATTTAAAACTCTTCCCTTATTTTTGGGCCCCCAGAAGATTGATGTCCTTTTGGTGGTGCATGGACTGTTTTGGTGTTGTCTTTAATCCATTGCTTGAAAAAGCAGTCTTTGTTTTTCTTGTGGGTCGCTGCCAATATTTTTTGTCATACCCACACTTTGTTCAAATATTCCCATCCGTGTTGGTGACCCATTTGCTTGCCAGCAAATCCCATGTGCTTGTTGTGGTGTTTCTGTGATCTGGTGTCAATCTGTTAATATTAATGTATTACTACATGTTTAGGTGTTTGCTGTACCCAGGTAACTCGGTGATCAAGGTTGTGTTTCCTGATTTAACCTGCTTTAAAATATCGAAGCGCAAACAATAATATTCAAAGACTAACTTACTGTTAAGTTTAAGTTACAGCATGCTCTCCTGTGTACTGTGTTCATCAACTTGATCGTAATTTGTAACAGATTAAGCATTATTTTTGACTAATGGTTGGGGGAGGGAATAGCAGACGGACAGCAGACAAACAATACAAACAGAATAATGAACATGTTGGGGGCTGGTGAGGATCAGATCAGAGACGTGAAGCTCCAGATCCAGTGATATATCTGCAGAGAGAACAAACACAGGACCTCGGGAAAAACACAGAGTTAGCGACATGTAATGGTGGTTATAACTGTATGGAGAGGAGAGGAGAGGAGGCCAGGGCATCATGGGAATCCCAAGGCAGTCTAAACCTGTAGCAGCATAACTAAGGGACAGTTCAAGTGATCCTGAGCAGCTCTATCAGCTTTATCAAAGAGTAAAGTTTTAATCCTAACCCTAAAGTAGAGAGCGTGTCTGCCTCCAGAACCCAAACTGGGAGCTGATTCCACTACAGAGGAGCTGATAACTGAAGGATCTGCCTCCCATTCTACTTCTGGAAACTCTGGAACCACAAGTAGACCTGCAGTCTGAAACCGAAGGGCTCTGTTAGGATGATACGGCACAATAAGGTCTTTAAGATAAGATGGAGCTGGTCATTAAGAGTTTTATATTTGAGAAGCAGGATTTTAAATTTGGCCTGCAAGGTGTCTCAGTGGTTAACACCATTTCCTCGCAGCAAGAAGGTTGCCGGTTCGCATCCCAGTGAGGACACTGGGATCTTTCTGTGTGGAGTTTGCATGTTCTCCCCGTGCAGCGTGGGTTCTCTCTGGGAGCTCTGAGAGATTTATAGCAGAGAAGCAGTCTAATTCTGGTCCTGTGGAAGCTTCTAGAGCTGCTGCACAAGTTAATGATTTGTTTGTCTAATATTCAAAACTTTATCAGTGAAGAAGGACATAAAGTCTTCACCGCTGAGAGCTAAAGGAACACTAGGTTCCACAGAACTGTGACTCTTTGTCAGCCTGGCTACAGTGCTAAAAAGAAATTGGTTTCCTCAATTAAATATGAATTTTAAGCTGTTCTTGTCCTACGAATTGCTATTTTATATGTGATAAAAGTGTCCTACCAGGCTAGATGAAATTCTTCTGAATTAGTAGAAAGTCATTGCCTTTCCAGCCTCCTTGAATTCTGCTTTAAGATGTGCAGTTGTTCATGATACCATGGAGCTATTTCCAGTGTTTAATCTGTGAAAATAAACATTAATCATCATAATGAGTAGTCAGTTTAGCATTGCAGAGTGCATAGAATAAAACACTCTTATTATGAGTGTTGGTGTCAGGTTTTAGTGATGCTTTGCCAAATCCATCCATTATCTATACTCCGCTTAATCCTCACTAGGGTCATGGGGGGCTGGAGTCTATCCCAGCTGACTCACAGTGAAGGCAGGTTCACCTGGACAGGTCACCAGTCTATCACAGGACTACACTTAGAGACAGACAACCAAGCACACTCACATTCACGCCGCCAATTAACCAATTAACCTCAACATGTTTTTGGACTGTGGGAAGAAGCTGGAGAACCCGCAGAGAACCCACACTGCACGGGGAGAACATGCAAACTCCACGCAGACACATCGTGGGCATCCGATCTGGGGATCTTCTAGCTGTGAGGCAACGGTGTCAAATGAAGCAGGCCAAAGGAGTCTGTTCATCAGGTTCATTCTCACTGTACAAAGTGAAATATGTGATGACTTGATTGTACTGAAGAAGACTTTTTTTCAAGAGCACATTTAATTTATTGGTTCATATCCCTGATTTATTCAAACACAGCTGATGAGATACCATCAAATTTATTGTTCAGCTTTTTTCTGAGCCTGATACTGAAGGTTAACTCTGGGCTTGTGCTTCATAAGTAAGGCTCATTATTGCAACCTTGGAAACTCTTATTAACAATCACTTTACAGATCCGGCATCGTCATTACTTTTGACATTTAGTGATAAAGTAATGAACAGTTAAGTAATTCATTAAATAAAGAAAATATAAATAAAGAAAACAAAATGTAAATACACAGTTCCATTTCTCCTCTACTGCTTTGTCCTCAGCAGTGGGACACAAATTTATCGGCTTAGAAAACTATCGACTTTCTCTGAGTGTAATTTCCTGGTGAGTTAGTTCCCTCATGGCATAGGGGAGGACCTGACTCCATCCTTAATGTGAGTACGGGAAAGGCAGAGACAAGTGTGTGAGGGAGTCATGAACAGGCCTGGGACCACGTATTCTGTGCTCGGCCTATTTGTTTCCTCTCAGCCCTGAGACTTTTGAATGAAAAATTGCTTTAATACAGCCAGTGTAATTGTAAAGGCAGCAGAGAGAAAAGAATTATGGCACGTCTATGAGCAGAGGAAGCGTAACCACTCCGCTGCTGACTGAATCTAGCACCACAGATCGGAGACTATGACTCAGGGAAGACATTATTGATTCTGATTTATTGATCACCAGCCCCCTTCCATGGTAATAGCAGCTTGTAGAAACACATGCATTTTTTTTGGGCAGAAATACTTCTCGGTCAATCAAGCACAAAGACATTTGTGGGTAATAAATGCAAGTTTAATGAAGGCTACAGTAGCAGTCACCTGTTTATGCTCAGCGAGGGGTAGCAGAGGACAGATCTGAAGGCCGTACTACAAAGCAAGATTAGTGACGTGTGTTGAGTTTAACGTCAGAGTTTTCAGTGGCTCTTACCTGGCTAGATCACCATGATGGTGCAGAGCTAACTGGGGCAGGTTATGTTCAGAGTTTTGGATTTAGATTGGCTATAAGAAGCGTCTCCCTTTAACCAAATCATTTCCTGACTATTCTTTGTGAGCGATTCTCAGCTGAGGGAATGTGTTTTATCTGTAAACATGTTGAGCTGTACATCACCAAAAAAAGCCGTGTTGTTACACTATCACAAACGTCTAATGGCCATGGGACCCCAACATGTATTCTAATCCAGAAATTTCATAAATATGTTTTTATGTTTGGTTTTATCCTGCTGGTACTACAACTGATTGAACTCAATTTAGAAAACTGAATATTCTTTGTAATAAATACCAGCAGAATAATCAATCAATACCATTATTTTACTTTAATTTGGCGAAAATAAGGTGACATGCTGTGTTCAGTGACAGTGTCAGACCTAAATGCACTTTAGTACAATAGTATGTTTAAATACATGAAGTTTAAAGTTTACCAGCTCTAATTTGCTGCCATCAGCAACAAGCGGCGTAAAATAAGTAAATGAACACAAGATCAACAGCGGTGTGAATTTCTTGCAGAATACAAAAGCACTTTTGGCAAGCATTCAGATATAATAGCTTATTCCAAAATGACAAAGCATGAAGATCTTCACTTTATAACCACAGATCTTATTACATAACATTTTTTATTATCTCTTTATTAAAATTTCTTTCGGGCCTGTAAAAGCACCTGCCTCATTTATGGTGCTGTACTGTTAAGGGACAGTGCACTTTCCATTAAGACAATGGAAAACGTGCTCAACTAAAACTTTGCTGTAGAAGAAGAGCTTTAAAGACGCAAACAGGAGCTGAGATGGATGAAATCTGGGTTATGATTCTTCGCTCAGACAAAATTATCATCGAAAGGTTACACAGAAAATTCCATTCATCACAGCAAGTGCATGAATATTCATCACACAGTTGATAAAACAGCACTTTTCAGTCTCTTTGATTGGGTCAGTAGAACTGTCTAGCCTTTCAGTCATCAAAGGGATTCATTAAATGTCATCTCTTCTGTAGATAGGCTGATATCAAAGTGCTTGTCAGACTCAGTCACATTTGGGCAATTGTCGAAAATCTTCCTTGGCCTGTTGTCTCACTACCTTTTATTTTAAGGGAAAATGATTGAA